ACTGGAAAAATGGTGAGGGAGAACCAACTGGACATTGTGGTGGTGGACAAACAACAGAGAACAGCTGTTGTGGTTGATGTGGCGATACCAAGTGATGCATTATCAGGAAAAAGGAACACGAGAAACTAGAGAAGTACCAGGGTCTCAAAGAAGAATTTGAGAAAGCCTGGAGAGCGCAGACATCGGTGGTGCCCGTGGTCATCGGGCACTCGGGGCAGTAGCCCCCAGACTAGAGGAGTGGCTAAAGCAGATCCCAGGAAAAACATCTCAGTCCAGAAAAGTGCAGATCTAGGAACAGCTAAGATACCGTAGAACCCTCAAGCTTACAGGCCTCTAGTAGAAGACCCGAGCTTGGAAGGATGAGACCACCCGTGGATGGTGTGATGGAAATTTTTATATATATATATATATATATATATATATATATATATATATATATATATATATATATATATATATATATTTATTTATATATTATGAATGTAAGAAAATATCGATATAGCAATATATCGCGATATATTATCCTGCAATATTATATCAATGTTCAAAGGCTGTGTATCGATTTTTTGGGAAGAATTTACGTGCAAACATTTGTGTATTTTCTTTTCTTTTGGTGCAAATCAAATGCTGTCCACTAGTTAGCAGTAGTGTGCAATGGAGTTTGTTTCCACCACTGAAATGTGAATCCCTCTATTATGGTTCAGATACCTCATGTTAATCATGCTAAGTATCAGTTTGGACCATTTATTGAATTTTCCTACAATAATTTTTGTCTAAAAAAATCGCTAATACTGACTGACTGAATGTATCGCAATATATCAGGATATATCGTATCGTCTCCCCTGTATCGTGATATGTATCATATCGCCAGAATTTCACCAATACACATCCCTAATATATATATATATATATATATCGACTCCCTTTATTTACACTCCTCCTTCTGTCTTCACGTTGGCTTTGAAGATGGTTTTCTCCTTTTCTTTTTTGCATGGATCAGTGTGGGATCAGTGGTGAAGAAACAAACTGAAAGGGTTTCAAATACTTGATTTTAGTTCTAGTCCTTTTGGAAAAAAATATTTTGTTCTCCAATCTTCTTACGACAAAAGAAAATCTATGGAGCAGATTTATTTTTGTGAAACTTAATTTCAGGACTTTGGTCCAAACGTTTGAATTCCCCCAAAATATTGATCCAGGTGGAATCTTGGTGTTTTCAAATCTTTTAAGACTCACTCATAAGTTTTAGATTTTTGATTGTATATAAAAAAGAGACATGATTTCCCTTCAAAATACAGGTGATGATTGTCTTCTTTTGACCTAGAACCGCTCTCATCCTCAGCCGTCTCTTTTTGACACCACTCTTTTTTCGTTCATGAAGCTTGAATTGGACCTGGACTGATCGCAGCAATACGTTGCCTGTAAGGTGACAAAGGATTTACTTTCTTCCAGTGGAGTCAGCTCAGAAGCTCTACAGGGTTAGCCAAGAAAGCGAATCAGTTCACATGATGAAAAAAAACAATGAAATCTTTGGGGGCTTTAGGCTTTCACTCTGACCTGCCATTTCTCCCTGCAGCGGTGTTTATTGTTTTTTGCCAGTTGTTGACTGAACATCATATTTCCCAACATATTTTGACCAGTCAAACCTCTGGTATAGTGAACTAGCAGGATTGCAAAAGATTGAAAAGATTAGTCAATTAAAGAAAAATGAAATGCTAAGTTGCAAAGAAAAACTGTTGGGAGAACCCAGTCAGATGTTTGAACTGAAGATAACATGCCCATATTTAGAAGTCCTGCTCTAAAACCCAAGTATCATCATCCACAAACATTGATTGCACAAAAACATAAAACTACATTGAGAATCACATCAAACACCCAGGATATTTTCTTCACATCAATTTAAAATAGTAGAATACAATAAAAGCCCCACAATGCAGAGGAAACTGAAAGGGAAACCAATTATTCCTCTGTCTAGGGGGTCCAAATCGGTTCAAATGAAGGCAACTGGACTTTTTTGGGGTTTCCTGAAGACAAAGCTCCTCAGATGAGAAGTGAAACATCTTCATTTGAACCCCTTTTGATGAGCATGACCTGGATGCCTGAAAACCTTCACCAGCTACTCCATCCAGGAAATGAAAACTCCTAAAAGACAATCATCCATGTGATAGAAGACATTATTGAGCCCTATATTTTCCACAGCAGCATGCTTTGTATTTATCAGTAAGGCATTTAAAGGAATTGGGACTCATTTGAGTAACATTTGTCTCAAGTTTGGAATAGTTTCAACTCTTTCATGATGAAGTGAATCAGAACTCTGAATGTTTCAGACTTTCTATATTTTATTTTCCTTTTTCAGACCCCCCACCCCACCACACACACACACACACACACACACACACACACACACACACAGAAACAAGCAAGTTTCGACTGCTTTTATCTAACTTTGATTATAGTTATTTTATTTTTCTTCTGTGTTGAAGGTTACCTGCTTGTTTTAGATTTGTATTGTTCAGATTTCCTCTGATAATGTGTCTGTGATTTATTTTAAACCTCACATGGAGCATTCGTCAGAGGTTTGAACATAGTTGTTATCTCATGTATAAACTTTTCAACAGCTAAAACCAAAGTAAAATTAAAAAGAAAAGAAAATAATTTCTTTGCAGCGTGCACCAACTGTCCAGGCAATATTTCATTTATTTAATGTTTCTGTCCCCTCCTAACTCATTTCCCTTCTTGGAAATACATTTAAAAAATCATCAAAGTCTGGAAAACACAAACATTGAGATTTTCTCATTCATACCATTGCAAAAAAACTCTGTCTCCTCCTGACCTTCACCCATAATATTCATCTAGCCATCACTCAATCAGAAAAAGAAAATAAATAAATAAAAATATGTCTTTTATGCTCCTGTGTGACTAACAGATCTTTTTTCACACCTTATTTTCCCACTCACACACACCTACATAATCTCTATAAAGAATTAATGCAAGGCCTTTTAATTGTTGGATTCTTTTTTACAGCTTTTCATTCACAAAGTGCATTTCTAAATGTACATGAAGTTTTTAAAGTTTTCTGTTTTGGGTTCCAGAAGAAGCAGGCTTCCAGCGTCGACCGGATCACTCTCTATGGACTGATGGTTAAACCCATTCAACGATTCCCTCAATTCATTTTGCTCCTGCAGGTATGAAGATATCCTACATTTATTTGGTGTTTTTCTCATCGTGTGGAAAGCGTCATTGAGACACTGAAACTGAATAAAACAAACAGCCACAGAATTCAGTGTAGAACTCCAAAAAACGAAGTTGTACACAAAGTCTGGCTCTTAGTCGGGTCGGCGTTGGAGACAAGATTTAAATGTGTCTGCCTGGCATCAGCAGTCATTTTTTGTCTAACTTCTGTTTTGTACAGGTTTTGATTTGAGCTTGACTTGCTGAGTCTGCAGTAGCTCATTTCATCGCTCAGTAGGCATTGATTATCCCTGAATTCAAAAGATAACTTATGAATACAAATCAGGCGTTTTCTTCCGGCTCAAACTCAACACTCCAAAGAGGAAATGCATCTGTTAAATCATACATTACAGGGGAGTAAAAACCGAAGGCAACATGGTTGATCTGAGATGTTAATCAAGACATCTGCTGCAGGTTTCTCACAACCTCATAGCTGCAGGACAAATATGGACGTGCGAGTCAAAAACAGAAAACCAGTCTCGACAATTTAGTCTCCCCCCAACTTATCAAGTCTGATTTGACCAAAGATTGAACTTTTTATTTTGAAGAAAACACTTCCAATATGAAGTTTTGTTAGAATTCAGAATGATGGAGAATCCACAGGAAATGATGAAACCACGGAGAAAGACTGCTGTGTGGTTTGAAGTAACAGCTACAGAATTACTTCTAGTAAAGATTAGATATTTTATTTTAACATATTAAAGTGAAAAAAAATCTTAAGTTTATCTGTTGTCTTTTGATTTTAGAGCTCGATTGTTTCTGTCGAAATGGCAGAAACTTTACTTTTCTCCACCTAAACAAAGTTCTTCTTGGATGCAAAACAGTTCTGCGGCTGCTCAAAACTGGACTGGATTTGTGCTTCAGTTTCAACCTTGTAACTGGAACCGTTATTTAACACCACATAGCTGGTTTCTAGGGGTGCAACGGTATGCCTACAATCCCGGTTCAGTAGGCTACCATCCATATATCATGGTTTGGTGAATTTTTTGGTACAGTACAAGAACAAAGTGGGAAAAAAAAGAAAACATTTTGTGTAAATAGGTCTAAAGACATTTAAGATGAAACTTTACTTACAGTAACTTCTCCAAACTGATATTCTCAGAAATGTGGCACTTTTCTAAACATAAAACTGTAACATCTTTAACTTACTCCGCCTTAACTGAAAGAACAAGCTGAGCTATTTAAAAGTAAAAATAATTTCTATGGTTTAAAAATGATTTTTATGTATTTCCTTAAGTTCAGCGTTACGAGTTCCATCTTGCAGCCTGGATCAGATCCATCAAACCTGTTTCTGCTATAAGTTGTGATTTGCCCAGGTCTTTGGCCTAAGGCACAGATTGGCAATGTCTCTGGTCCCACTAGGACAGAGGTAGCTACTGTTGCTGCTAAACGTAGTTTTAAATTTTGTTCATTGTTGTCACGGTGCTAGACCTTGCTATATTTTACCGTCTCTGACTCATGGTGTCCTCAGTCAGCGCAGGACTTAGTCTGGTACCAACGCCATTCAACCTCAACTGTGAGGGCAGGTCTTCGATGAATGCAGCCCCTGAATTTGGGCACAATCTTGTGTATTTCTGGCTAAAGACTAATGTGTGCAACACAGATTCACCTCTTTGTTCAAATTTGCTATGAATTGGAATACGAATAAATGTACCATTGAACCCTGATTGGTTTCACATAAAAATGATCTTAGTACTCACAATGTTGCTTTGGAAGTGTCTAAAAATTACTTCCTACAATGCGACTAAATAAATAAAAACATTTCTGATAGTCATTTACCTGGTGCTACATCTTGGTTTCTGACACAAAACCACAGCTCGGTTCACGAGGCACAATAATCACGCACATTTTGGACCTGCTCCATCTCTTAATCCTAAGGACATGCCCTGATTATCATAATGTTCTAAAGATAAGTTTGTCAGATATTCATATTGTGTGTGGTGTGTTTAAAGTCACCATGGTCTGCTCAGACGAACGTCAGGGTTGCTTGGATCATAAAGTCGAGCTTTCAATCAAGTTGGATTGTTTTGGTCTGATTTTTGAGGACACACGAGCGTGCTGCCTGTTGAATGTCACATTGAAGGTGACGGTAGCATGCCAAAACTCCTCCTCTACTACATTCATTCACTCGGAATTCACGTTTGATCTTGCGAGATGTCCCGTCTCACAGTGAAATGTTTATGTGGGAAGTTGGTTCATGTGTAGTTTTTGCCGTTGTAGCACACCACACGCTGTAGTCTGCATTTGGGCTCTGTTGGATAAACCTGCTTCCCCATTTCTGGTGTTTTTAGGACATGCTGAAGAACACACCCACTGGCCACGTGGACCGGCTCCCCCTGCAGCTCGCCCTGACCGAGCTGGAGATGTTGGCCGAGAAGCTGAATGAACAGAAACGAGTTGCCGACCAGATAGCAGAAACTCAGCAGCTAGCCCGCAGCATCAGTGATCGCCTGCTCAGTAAGGTGACTGGTCATGCTAATTCAGTCGTCTTTTCACCTGCACGTGAACTGTTACGTGCATATCAGCTCCTATCAGATGAGCTGCAGGGCCTGCTGCTCATCTGGGCTGCTATTGCTCTGAGCCAAACGCCTAGACGTTACACCATAATATAGCAATCACATTTCACTTTCCCCAGCATTAATATAGGGAGGCATTTTTTACTGAGAGACATTATCTCATAGAAACGATGCCCATTATCATCCCTAAACAGTACCACATGCAACGGCAGAGGCATCGCTTCTCCATTACCGCGCTGAAATTACAGTCCTGCTGCTGCAAATCGGAACAAATGCTGCTCTGAATAAAAAGAATTAAGGGGTAAATGAGACATTTAATTGGAAACTGTAAGAAAGCCATCTCTTTCACCCCGCCGGTCTTCGTCGTCTTTGCTCTCCACTTTACCCCCCATTCCCCTCTTGCACTCTCCTGTTTACTCTCTCACTCTATTTATACACTTCTCTTTCTCTACTGAGACCACAGCGTCCTTTAGCCTTTACACGTTTTCAAACGCTCTTGTCCTTCCTTCCCTTTTGCCGTAGCTTTCTAGGACTGAGCTGATTGACTTGACTCATCGTCTCGCACAGACTTCTGTTTGCTCTGGCGACACATAAGGAAGACGCGGTTGCTTCCAAAGCCACCCAAAGAGTGATTCAATCTTTGTCTCCACATAACAGCATATATGACATACAACAATAGGAATGGGAATTATGCATCCACATTAAAGCAGCAATCTGTATTTTTTCCTGTTTCAGGAATTATGAATGAGTTACAAGTGAAGGTGTGACCCTGCTCTGTGGCCTATTGGAGGCATAATGTCATTTTTTAAGCCCACCCCATCCCGTAGAGCCCCATGGAATTTCAAATGAGCTACTCAGCATCAGCCAATAGTGTTCAACATCATCTTACGTACAGTTGTCAGTCACAGAGAATGCTTGAGCATTAGTGGAAGTAGCTAGACTGATGAAGAGTTGGCGACGTTCCCTACGGACAAGTACGTTGCAAATTTTTTTATGAATAAACTGCGTAACGTGAGAATAATACTTGGTAAAACATTGTGTGTTAGATCCCAGCTAGAGGTGTGTGTTCACGAACAAGAGGCGCTTCTTCCAGCAGTAATCGCAGAGGTAGGGAGAGGGGCTTAAGGTGCAAGACATTTTTCTGCCTCTAGATGGTGCCCTTTGTGAAAAAGTCTCAGGATTTCTGCTTTAAGCTGCTCTAGCCAAAGCTCTGGGAATGTGTTTTTGTAGCAGCCCATTTCTTGATGGCGCTATGAGTCTCCCTCGCTGCAAACAGCAGCCCAGGGCGGTCTAATTAGTTACTTTATGATCCCACTCAGCTGAAAGAAGTTGCATTTGGCAGAGAGGACATCTACTTTTCTGAAACATCCAAATATCAGGATGTGACTTCCTGATTTCGACTCAGCTCTGCTTGCTGCACTGTGGTTGTGATGAATCTGGTTTAGTTTGGTGCAGTGTGTAAAGTACAACAGCACCGATTTAGACAGTCACAAATGAAGCCGCACAAAAAACATTTCTGTTGCCATTTCCTTTTGCCAAACATATGGATGACTGGGAAGCCAACATGCTGTTGCAACAATTTCATCTGTTATCCGAGTCTTTAATGAGGTGTGTGTGTGTGTGCGTGTGTGTGTGTGTGTGTACTTGTGCAGTTGTCCTGCTGTTGTGGAAAGGATTGTGTGTCCCAGCGCTCATGACAGAAGCCCGTTTGTATTGTCAGCACTAACTAGCATGTAGGAAAAGAGCCGACACAAATAAAATCAAAAGCCTGCTTTGCAAGTGTTTTTCAGACAATTACAAACCTTCCTGGTTGCTTTTGGATGATCGAAGGTTTCCCTCAGGTCCACCTTTAATCACTCCACAAATGTGTGACAGCAAAGCCTCTGGAAGGGTAAAGGCAGCCTCCGTTTAACTCGGCCGTGTGTGATCAAGTGTAAATACACGCACATTAATGACCTTGAGCGAAATGAATGTGTTGCTAATCCCTGATGAGATATCTGTTCCTCCAAGCCTGACTTCTCCGTCCTCCGGGCGCTAAACTCCAGAGGACTTGGGCTTTGTCATGCTGCCTCCTCCGCCCCGATCTGACTTCTGTGTCCCTTTTAGCAACTGAACTCGGAGCAGAGGTCGCTGGTCCTTTGTGAGACGTTCATTGAGACTGTGTATGGCGAGCGGGGACAAGTCCTGAAGTCAAAAGAAAGAAAGGTCTTCCTCTTTGATGATGTGCTCCTCTGCGCCAACATAAATGTCAAGTAAGTCCTCCATGTAGACGCACTGCTCGTGCATTCAGGAAGCTAATGCCGTTGCAACGTTTAGCTCTGGCGTGACGCTGTGTGTTTTCCTATAGATGATTCATGTAAGAGCTCACAGTTTGGAGAAATCTGCATGAAGCCCAAGGTTTAGCAGGAACGTTTTGGCAAATTGCAGAGTCAGGAGAAATAACTGCAAGGGGGTTGAGCACTATCACCCGTTGCAGGAGCTTTATCAGCTTTAAACAAACGCTAGAATCCCTCACAACAGCTTCAGGAGTCCGAGATAATCGGCGTGAAATGTTACTGGTTTCTGCCCAATTTATCTTCTGTACCGTTGATCACATCTCCTGTTTCTGTCAAAGGGAGGAACCAGGAAATGATCTGATTTATTTACTTGTCTGTTGTTAGTAGTTAGTACTGTTTGTTTTGTTTCTAAATGAAGATGACTTTGCCTGCCCATCAGGTTTTTAACAAAACGATCACAATGCTGAGCATCAGCGTGAATACTGGAACACATGAATAGAAATGGACTTTTTGGATCGGGGGGTGCAGTTTCACAGGAAGGACTAGTGATCCCACATCTTCTGTCCAAGGCGCTGGTTCACACAACAGGACTTTGAAATAGTCGAGATTATTTTCAAAACATGAGCGACCCCACACGTGGTGACAAAAAGATCACGGACCGGTTTGGTCCAGAAGTATGGAGCCTTGATCTTTTGTCCCCCTGTTCCTGCTCCAAATAGTCTGACTGATGTGGGCACACCATCATCTAATTTTCATTGTTTAACCTTAATGCCACACTAGGCAACTTTTTCATATATTCTAATCATTTTCTTGAGCCACTCTGTGCTAATATGACCTTTTACAGGGTTAATGAAATGCCACTCAGACCCCCACCACTCCCCGTGGCCAAAACATCACCACCTTTTAGACTTGAGCTAACATGCCTGGCACCGGAGTCTGCATCCAGCTTGTTTCCTGCATGTTTTAGATCGCAAACACAGCTGATTTATGTGATTTAGTGATGAGCCACTCCTGTAGAAAGTAATGAAGGCAGAAGAGACATTTCAGCTGTTAGATTAAGGTGTTAAAAAGATCAGTTTCACATTTGGTTCTACCAACCGGACACTAGGGGGCGCTAAAAGCAAGCCAAAACTGCTAAGTGGGCCTTTAAAATTGGGCCCAAACAGTCCAACATTTAATATCCATAGTTTGTGATCAGAGTGTTCCCGACGTCCTTCCAAGCAGGCAAGAGCAGTCTTAACACACCACACATGGTAGGGATATCTGATAAGATGAATTTATTGTTAAGCATGAATAAACTATTAAAGAAAATCATTATCATCTGCTTAATTTTATGCTTAACATTATATAATGCAATACTAAGCAGACCCCCACTTCCACCCCCCACGGTCTTTGCCCTGGGGGGTGGAAGTGGCCCTAACCCTAACCTAAAGGACACTTAACAGTTAACGATAACAGAAACTATAACAATGGGGCTCAATACACTAAGTAACGTTAATGAAGGTACCCTTGTTGTAAAGTGTTACCAGATTAACTTTAGAGCCGTTATGGAAGTTGGGATTGTCAGGAGAGGCGGATCAGGTCAAAAACTGACAACACTCGCTATCAGGTTGTGTGCATCTTTTTTTGCATCTTGTTTTTCTAATAATTTAGTTTTTTTCTCTTAATCTCCTCCAGAGGGCCTCCAGATATCAGCAGCCTGGTCCCTGTTGGCCCCAAGTACACCATGAAGTGGAGCGCCCCCCTTCAGCAGGTGCAAGTAGTAGAGGTCGGACTGGAGGGCTCTCAAAGCAAGGACGCTATGTTTCAGCAAAGTGGGGCTAAGAGGCCAAGTGTTTCCTGCAATTCAGGTAAAACTAATATACGTCCTTGTGCTAGCTCAACATTTCTCATGTCACCCTCTAGTTAATCTCGTCACTTTGGCTGACTGCAAGTCTCATCTTTTTTTCTCGGACTCAGCGGGGCTAATCTGTTCCTGTTCTCAAGTATCTCATGGCAGGGAGGAGACGTAGCCGTGCTGCTTGTCACTCTGATTGAGGATGTGTTTGTGAGGAGGATAGTGATGATGGTCACTTCTTCCCATCTGCCTGTGGGTGTTTTATCTTGGAGAGTGATGTTGGTGTAGTGAGCCCTAAGCTGCATCATCCTCACGGTCTCATTTCACTCTCTGATAGACCACAAACATGTCTAGAGAGCAGTCATCAATCTGTGGAGATTATTCCCTGCCTTTCTAGGCCCAATTAGAAAGCCAGCAGCTGTAGATAGGAATCTGTGGTTGAAACACTGGTTCTCCCACCACCTCTCGCAACACTGGTGTACACAGAGCTTGACGAGATCCCTGATAAATGTGCCATGGGAAAAGGAAGATACAAAGCCTTATCAGAATGTAACGCAGCACACTTTGTAAAGTTGCTGCTCCATGACTTAAATATTAATCGTGCCTTCTTCAGCGCTCCTCGTGTCATGCTCGGGAGGCAGCTGCTGTTTATATTCTCACCGGATTCAGTTGCTTTCTTTTGCTCAGGTAGTTTATACTCATATCCTCACTACTTTGCGGCAAGGTTTGGGGATCATTTAAGATTAGCTTTCAGTGCGCCGCTCTGCCTTCTCAGACTGGTGTATATCTCTGAAAACGCGTTGCCCCACATAGGTGCAGGATTCAGACTCTGACACTTCCTCACTCGTGTTTCCTTTGTTTTTTTGCCCTCGTGGCAACGTTTCTATCCAGAAACCTCCACACTCATGTGCTCACCTTGTCCCTAAATCTTCAATAGACTGGCAGTACAATTTATTTATATGCCCTTGTGATGTCATTCAACGGGGTGTCTTGTTGAAGCCCCTTTCTCCCTCAGCGTGGCTTAAATTGAATCATTTTTCACCTTCTGCAGGCTCTTGAACCTGTCTTTATAAAAAAAAGGAAGCTTGCCTTTAGGCAAGCCTGCCTTTTACACTCATCCCTTTCCATCTGTCTATGTCTCTATTGTTCTGCCGGTCTTCACAGAAGGCCAAAAACTTGTCTTCCCAAAAGCCAGGTGTTTATTCTTTTGTACCGTCTTAGCTCGTTTTCTCCTCATTATCCTCCTTTCATTCCCGCTTCCCTTGTGACCCACAGTCAGAGATGCCCCCTTTGGCCAGCGGTGTAGCAGGGGGCTTTGGCTACGGATCAGACAAGGGGGTTGATGCAAGAGTTAAAGCTGCATTGTCTTTAAAGCCACTATAGCGTCACTGGCACAGCAGCCGAGTGTGAGGATAGACCCTTCCGGGCTTAGGCCGTCCACACCAGTGAATTATGTGGCCAGTGTGGATAGTCATGTCTTGGTGTGTAAACCATGTCCTGCCTCACCAATGGGATTATACTGGATTACAACTCAGCACATTCACCTTTTGGGCTGCAGCCAATGGCAGGCCCAACAGGACTCGGGGGAACCTTCACAGGGGTCCAGACCATCCCTTTGAAGACGACAGCCATGCATTGTTCTTTCAGCTCATAGCCCTTATATTCAGATGTCTCACCTATTGATTTCCTTGCTCAGATGACAGATGCCACTGTATGCCAGTGTCAAAGATCCCATTAAACCCCAAAAGCTACAATGGAGCTCCTTAGATGAATAATACCAGCCCACTCCTCCCTCCCTCTCTCTCTCTCTCTCTCCCCGTCCTCCAGTGACTTTCCCCTTGCTCCGTTTGTGCACGTGAATAGGCAAACGGCCGCAGGTCCCCCAGGATACGCACGCCTCACTAAGCCTGCCGACCTGTTCAGCTCTTCTGCTACTTTATTATGAAGCAGTGGTGACAGTGCAGGACAGCTCTGGAGCAAAATCTACCTGCAGAATTTAATTAGGTAATTCTCACAGAGCCTGGCGCTGGAGGAATGTGGGCCAGGGGAGCGAGGACGGAGGACGGCAGACGGGAGGAGACACTCGTATTGATTCTTGGCGCTGAATGAGAAAGACTTTGAAGGCAGTGGACCTCAAATCAATGCTGAATTTTGTGTCTAATGAGACACCTGCACTCCTTTTGGCCAGCAAAGGGCATCATGGCTCCAAATAACAGTTTCTCCATCTTATCTTTTTACCCATAAATTCACTCGCTGTAGTTCAGCATATAATGATGATCGACCCATCGACACGTTGACCCTCTTTTATTAGTGCCCACTGGAGTTTCAACCAAAGCTGCTTTTCTTTTAGACACTTTGTACTTTACTTTTGGTTTGTGGGGCGCGGTGACCTTGAGTTGTGTTGTTCTGTAACATCCACTTCAGCATCTGCTGCCATCCCTCCATCATATTCATATTTAGTCTGAAATCGTAGATAAATATTCCTAAGATCGGTAAGTTTATATAGTCACCCATCAAGGACAAAAACAGAAGTCTATTCATCACTTTGTATTCAATATCTTCTCACTGTTGAATTAGTTAGAATTTAATCAAATATATGATGATAATAACATATATATTTTTTTACAATTTATAAATGTTTAG